CCGCCGGTCGACTGCGTTCGCAGCGACGACATTTTCTGTAAAAACAAATGGGATTGCGCTTGTTACTAAACTGTATCGACGTACAGTGACTCGGCAGACATTATTTCAACGCTTATCGTAGACAATTTTTACGAATGTATCATATACCTACGTACACTTACTGACAAAAGTTAAGAAATGTTAATAATCGATATCTTTTATTTATAACTACCGAACCATTTCCATCAGTTATATAGTTTTTAACTTTAAGTTTACAATTATATAGTTTTACCAATTTGTAGAGGACTTGTGTGTAGAGGATGGTTGGTCGGTGAGGTTCGATGACGAGATTGCTCGTTGTCGAAACCGTCGAATATATTTAAAAATAATTAAATAAATTAATGTACAGACAACGTTCGCTGAAACGCTCGTACAATGCACAAGTCGTAAAATAGGATCGCTAATGACTCGTTAATTAGATCGACAACTATTTCATAGTGTCTATTGACTTTTGTCGGTGAACGTATTGTACGAAACTTTTCGAAATTTCATCGATATCGTAATGAAACTCGAGCATCGTGATTAATATTGGCAAAATTGGAAACCGTGTAAGATATATAGAAGTCACAAGAAGTACGTTTAGTAAAGAGTTGGCATTGATTCGTAACGTTTCCGAAAGATGTTTAACGTGGAATTTAATAAAAATCTTCTCTTGTTGAAGTCACAGTAGAGTAAATTCTATTTATTTAATTATAATTATGCGTTCTACTGTTATTCTATTATTGAGTGTACCTACGTTGGGGATGAAACTATTTCTATTTATAAAAAAATATATAATGAATTAATAATATGGAAAAGTGGTAATAAGAATAGAATTATAATTTTCAATTAATATTAGACAGTCGTAAGAGTTGATTTTCTCCGCATTGAAAAGGTAAACATTGTCAATAAATTGTGTCGTAGCTACGCAGTGTTATACGGACGATGAGCGTATGCTATAATGAAAACAATTGCGCGAATGACAACAAACGTGAGGCAATGCTGTTGACGACGCGACGCAACGCGACGTATTTAAGAAAAAATACAGTTGATCGTCTTTGTGTACATATTTTCTTAGCAAAGGTTCTTAGACTAAATTTGCTCATCGCGTAAAATGAGAAAATAAGCATATTCTTTTACGTTATAAATTTTATGCTATCTCTCGAATAATATCCCTTTATATTTCATTCTTCTTACATTTATACGCAGAATGTATAAAAATTATGGATAAAATGTATTAGTATCGTGATAAATCTAAGAGCATATTTTAATACAACCTTATATTTTTCATTGTGCGGATTTTTAATTTTAAATGCAAAGAATTAAAGCACTAATATATGATACGTTGTAACATTAATATTATTATCCTCATTTATTGCAGTACTAGCGTTATTACACCGACTCGCTTACTTTCACCGGACAGAAAATAATTCGATTATTTCAAAAGTTACAAAACGATATAAAACGTTGCGTAAAATATCGTTACATAATTTTAATAAACGAAAGAATAATTCGATTACTGAATTTCCCCGAGTTCCGAATTAAAGTATAAATTATTATTAGGCAAAATCTAATTACCATTATGTATCGCTAATGTCATTATATATCGATGCATTCATTTTCAATAAATACAAAATAATCCAATTATTTTAAGCCGGTAAAATTTTCAACGAAAGAGAGAAATTTCAAATCCTCTTGATCTATCTCAATCATCGTTAAACTCTACGTACGAATGATCGAATCGTGAGGGTACCTGAGGGAACTGGTGCGAGTGTCGAGAGATTGGAAGTTGTAGGACAGACGGAAACGCACTTGCTCGCGGTACGACGGCTCGCGAGATTCTAAGACTCGAAAACTACTCTAGCGTCACGCGAAGCACTCTAATTTCCCCCTCCAACACGATTTCCTAGGGTTGCTTCAAGGGGAACAAGGGGACACGGAAGAGGAATTTTTGGCGCGTTTCTTGAATGAAACGCACGTTCCATGACTATCTCCGTAGTAAACTAGGGTAACTGACCTACGACCACGAATTTCCTTCCTGGTGTTTGACATTTCCGAAAATTTACGACGCATCGGATAAACGTAGATTTTTATAGAAATCTGCCTCATCGTTTATACTTTACGCTATGAATTTGTATTATTATTAAAAACAACAACCCGGATTTCCTCTTAATTCTTCGTTTGCTTGTCGAATATATTAAACTTTAACGTTTATATTTAATCTCTTGACGTCGTGTGTATATAAAATAATTATATAATAATTTCTATTTGAGGATCATGGTCAATGCTATCGAATATACGTACCTGCATATATGTATGTCTTTTGAAAAGATCAATTCGCAAATTTGCTTTAACAGGCAATGCTATACGAAAATCGTGCGTGTAAAATACGTAATTTAGAATATATATTTCTTGACTTAAAAGAAACGGAAGAATGCCATTTAATTATTATCATCGTGATTTCACTATTCGAGATATTTTACAGTATATGTTACCAAAATATCCCAATTCTCAGTTTCCCATTTTATGATTTCCAAATGAAGACCACAGCATCTAGTGATTTGACGCTATAGAAGCTTTCAAGCAAAAATTTCTATTGTTAAGAATGACAAAGGATCGTCAACGATCGCGTTCTCGTGTGCAAGCCCAAAGAACACGGTCGCGCGACGCACGCGTGAAAAGCCTGTTCTTTGCCGTATTCCGTTTGCCAATTAGCCGACCCTGTTGTTGTCTCTATTCTCTGCCACTTCGCGCGGTTGTTCAAACGCAGCCTCATAGTCAGTCAGGCACGGTACTCCTCTAGATTTAGATCAGCCAGGCTGCAGTTGGAAATCGACCGCGAAATTTAAGGATCCCGCGTTCAGCGGTGCGTATCAAGCTGAGATCATGGTGTCGGTTGATCGAGGAATACAATAAGACATTCAGACCAAAATACGCTACCAAGACCGAGAACTTTTGGGTGAAGGTTCGTGTACCGGGTGTGCCGATCGATTCGTCGACTTTCTGTACACTACAGGAATCTTTCATTAGGTGTGCGTAACATACACAAGGATGTTTAAAATTCATAATACTCGGTATTAATTCAAATTAATTTAATCCGTTACATTCGCAGTATATATTTCTGTTGGTTTTTACATTATCTGTAAAAGTTTCTTCGAATGTAAGTGTTTAAAATAGTTGAGTGTATTAGTTTTACGATACGGACGAAAGTGGGCCACGTTGAAGAAGACACGTTATTTTGCTTTGACTGTGATATCAAGGGAATCGAGAAAAATCTAATTTACATTTAATCGCAAAACAATAAAAGCTGTATTTTTCCTACGAATCTTCTTTACCGAATAAAATATTTATATTATTTCTCGAGTTTCTTAATTTGGATTTTAAATATGCACAGTGGTTTCCATCGTTGTTCGGATATTCTTTGAAACAGACCAACTTCTTTCAAATTGAATCGAACGACTTGAGATCCTTTGAAAAGAATTTTGAAACAATTACGATTAGTCGGAGTCGCGAAGAAACGAACGAGGGTCGCTTTTCGAAACTTTGTTATCCTTACATTGTTATGTCATGAAAATTTGAGCTTGATTTTGAAGAATAATTAAAGTCTATTTTTTATAAGTTCGTTATATCGATATTCTTCTATTTGGAAATACAGAAAGTATTTTCCTCTCTTTCGTTTCTCGATTTCGGGTCTTGCATCGGGGGTTGAAATCGGAATGTTTGTTTGGAAATATGAATTGCCGTTACTGACACGAATGGAACAATTTTTCGACAGTTGTTCGAAATTTTTTGATTAACACTGAGCTCTGATTGAATGCGAGATTTCTGGTTTATCGATTTTAGTTGTAGGTCAGTGCTGAAATTATTCTTCCATAATACCTTATTCTATATGTTTAGTACTTGATTTTAGATTATACGTACAAAATATGTTACATTATACGAACATAATTCGCTTTACTATATTTTAATGCTTGCTACATTCTTTTACGTAAAATATCGTAAATCAATAGCCGAAATATCAAACTTCGAAATAACAATAAATAAAGGAACTGTGAGTAATACATAGAATAATAAATGGGACAAAATATAACGCTGGCAAGTTTCATAAAAATTCTTCAACGCCAGCGTGAAAGCGCTTCTTCGCCTTCATTTCGTCGTCCGTAAAATAAATTAATTACCAGCGATCGAACGATAATTACGAACCAATGTAAAATCGATTCGTACTTGATTTATGAACAATTGGTACGCTACATACGGTTTCGTAATTATAATCCGACGAAAATCGATTCTTCCACCCATTTCTTCTTTTTATCGTCGTACAATATTAACGGAGAATTTTCACGCGTGAAATGAAAGCATTGCCACGAATAACTCGATCGCGTTCCTCTCGCGGCTGTTCGTGTCGTTCGTGCACACTTTTTCAAAATTCAAACCTACCTTTCCTTCAAAGATACATTGTATTGCACGCGATGTAAATTTAGCCCGCTAATACACAGATTTTCCTGTCTTTCCTCGAATTATACCGTACCAAAAATATCCCTGGGATAGTTGCGTAACGCACGATGACTGTACGTGCAAGAATCGCGATAATCTCTTGTTATACAATGACGTTACACCTGGTCTGTATGGTTTCGTATTTTAGTATTCGTATCTCTCGACCTTATAATCCTACTGTATCGTATATACTTATGGTCTTGAAATCTCGTAAAAAAAATAGTGAGCTTGACAACACGCACGCTTATGACCTTGAATTCTTTTCATACGATAATAAATTAGGAGATATTTAGATCATGCCATTTAACTGAGCCACCCTGTATACAACAGTTTACAAAAGGGTTCGAAGCTTTTACGAATATATTACACGCGCTATGTAAATTTCTCGTTCTATCCAGTTCAAAAAATCTGAAATATTTCTGGCACTGTGGTAAACTATATTTTTTTTTCAGATCATAGAAATTCTTTGATGCTCATAATTTACACAGCAGAAGTTTTTATTCCAATACATCCGTCGTTTCTA